GAGCGGTCCATCCGCTCGCTACTAATGGTAGCTCGCTACTAATGTTAGACCCCCTCAGGATTACTCGCACAAGTACTCATGTTTTGTATTGGTATTTTGAGCATCGTTATATAGTCATTAAATGTGACACTGAGGTTCAGAAGGTGAGTTCTATTAACCCCAGATAGGCTGCAGAAAGTATCTACTTGACCTGTGACGTAGGTAATGGCACAAGACAGTGGACAAGTTACAAATGGTTGACAAGCACGAAAGCACCTGGTTGCAAATCTGTGCTCTCAGACCATGATCTGCAAATTAGTTTCTAGTAGATTTGACAGTTCTGTGTTTGAGGACCTAAAGTTCTATTTGTACAGAATCTGAGCCATGTGGAAGTGTGAAATGTGTTCTTTATTCCATGTTTATTTTTGCCTCTTTATATCTGTGTGACAACGCAGAAGAGCTGGTAAAAGTGGACCAAAAGATGAGTGAAATGAGAATTAGGAGGGAGTTTTACCAGATGTTGTAAACTTGGGATCTGATTATACAGTTTGATAGTAACCACAGCCAGCACAATTATGGATAATTTAAAGTTCTGTAGATAAAGTGAGACTCGTACATTTAACAGTAATTTAGAACACCTACACTCAAAATTTTTCAGGCACCTGTCTCTTATGTAAGTAACCAGTGACTGCGGTGGGCGATGGTGGTGGTGTTTGTTGCCGAGAAGCCTGAAAAGGGATCGGGATTGGGCAAATTGTGGCTTTGGGAAGGGCCCTGTGGGCAGAGGGGCAGAGGGAGCATAGCGTGACAAAGGGATAGGCCTGGTTTTGAATTAAAATTGGCTTGTGTATATGCATTGTTAAACAAGACCCCTTTGAAGTTGCTGCTCCAGGATTCTGCCTGCACAGACTATAATCCTTAAATAGCGCTGCTGGGTTTTACCATGCTCATGATGTCTTGATGGGATTCTGCCTTTGTATATCCCAGTTCTCAGATATTTATGCCAGTCTTTAGGTACAGCTGAATATTACTGAAATGGAGGGCCTGTTTCTCATTACGAACCTCTCTCCTTCAGGCTCCAGTATGTTACCTAATCGCTGTCCAAAACTGGGAGCCAGCTAGGTAAGGTAAGCAGAGCAAGGCAATTTGGAGGCGAAATTTCCTTGCTAAAAAGACTGGCATGGATTAAAACTGAGTACAAACAAATCCTTTAGGGTTTAGAAGAAGAAGAATACAATTTTATTGGCTTTTTCTCCATAAACTTAGTTGCTGCTCCAAAGGTTTGCATTGTCATCCATCCTTATCTTCCCAGATGAGAATCAACAGCTGTTATAAAGATATCAGGTTCCAGGGCCTAATGACTCCCACCACTATCCATGAACTCTGAATCAGCTGATTGTCAGTGACTGTCAGAGGCTGAAGAAACATTTTAGTTGAGCTGGTGAACACAGGGTTGGAAGGTGCTGATACAAAGCAGTGGGGGGGAAACCTGGATTTCTGCGGTTGGTGATCTTACTGTATGGATCCATAGGGGTTCTTTCAGAGGCCCAGCCTCTCATTGGTAATGGCACAGCATGAACACTGCCTTCCCACTGTGTATTGCCTTTTCTGTTGGCCATTTTTTTGATGCTGTAGAAATTAGTGTCACAGAAACAAATGCACCCTTGTGGAAGGGCAGGCTGATATGTAACAAACTGATTTTTCCTGTTTATGTTCATTCTCTGATTTCGTTTGTTCACAAGCACGTGCTGACAAGCCCACATGGGCTGGCCAGGCTCCGTTGTGAGTGATACAGAGGATAAGGGACGCCTCCCTCTAAAATCTTTGTTATGTTTCTTGACTGATAATGGCAAACCGATACTGGGTGCGACTTATACACCCTTCTAGAGCTGCTGTTGTTGAGTATCTTGCTTGGTCTCTTCCCTTCTTAGGCAAAAATTAATCTTTTTTTTTTTAATTGGGATTATTTTACAGCTCTAGTCCAGCTCATCTTCATCGTCTTATCTTTAGAACAATCTGTTTCCTGCCTGGTCATTTGAATGAGATTAGCGTAGCAAATAGCACATGATTTTCCTCTGACCCTTCTATCTTATCCTGATGCATTCACGCACACTCCATTCAGGCCATTATTAATGTATTTGTTAGAAACAAATGTTGTAACAAGGCTGGACGAGGCTCAGAGCAACCTAGTCTAGTGGAAGGTGTCCCTGCCCATGGCAGGGGGGTTGGAACTAGATGGTCTTTAAGGTCCTTTCCAACCCAAACCATCCCATGATTCTATGAAACCTTTGCAGTACCAGTTACCCGTTAGCATTGGTAAAGGGAACTCAACAGGAAAATTGTCTGTGAGCTGCCAGACTTGGCGAGAGTTTCTGAAGTGATTTTCAGTAGAGGTGAATATCTGGTCCAGTCATTGTATTTGGAATAAACAGTTCAATAAAATATTTGTGTTTTAAACTACCTGCATTTTCCCAACTGAAATGCTTTTTTTCTGTTTGGTTATTAGCAAATGTTACTGCGTATCTGCCCTCAGTCAGTTGCTGTCTGAATATACGAGAAAAAACAAAGCATTTATTTCCCTTGAAGGTTTGTGTTCTGAAGCAGAAAACAGACCTTCTTTTTCCAAGATTCTAGGAAGGCAGCAGCTCCTTACCCTCTTAGCCTCATCTGTTTTATCTGCTGGTGAGACACTATGTATATTTATATACTGAGCAACTGGAGTACATCAGTTTCCATTCTTATCGAACACAAATATTTACCACAGGCCTGATCCAAGGTCTACTCACATCCAAGGTACTCTTAAAAATGTAACTTAACCACAGCAAACTCCTGATTTTTTTCCAATTTCATTTTAGTTGGGTTATAGGGTATTTTATTAGCAACTAAGTTGGGGTTTTTTTTAATCAAGGAAAAAGCCCAGTGCATTACTTTTTTGCTTTACTAACGAACTCAGTTGTGCAGATTCCCTAAAATGCTTTCCCGGCTGTAGTTCCTGACAGTGAGGAAACTGTGAAATGTTTTGACATTAATTGTCAGTGAGGAATTGAAACACAGAAGTCAACGAGCAATTAACATTATTAAACTTTAATGGACACGCTCCATATAAAAATGTCAATTTTGGGTTGACAGATTTTTGTTCAGAAGGAGAATTGTGGACAACTCTGAGGGCAGTGTCGTATTTTGTGGAAAGAGGGCAAGAAGAGAGGTGGGACAAGTAGCCAGAGGAAGGATTTCCGGTGCGAAGAACTATTTCTGTGCCAAACATAGGGAATTTGGAGCGTGATGAGCTTCTGAGAGCCTTGCCCTTTGCAAGCTACAGACTCAAGATGAGGAGTGTTGATTTTTCCTCCTCCTCTCTAATTTTGTGTGTAACTTCATGGCACCAACTGACATCTTTTCCCCGTCCCTTTCCCACCCCTGCCAACAACTGTTTGGGCAGTGATAGGGATTAACAGGGATAAGCTGGGTTAAAACTACTCTCTTCCATGGAGGCTATGCACCCAGGCCCTGATTTAGCAGTCTTATTTCCCCACATTATCACAAGAAAAGGTGTACGTGTGTTAAGAGGGTGGGAAACCGCAAGCACAGGATTTTCACAGGACATCAGCTGTCAGCGTTTCAATGTCCTGCAGCACTCATCAGATGACACAAACAAGAACAAAATGACAAAAGCGAAACAACAAAATTATCAGTCTGGGACAAGAATTGATGATTTTTATCTCATAAATACCAACATAAATATTTGACTGTGTTTCCAATAATGAAGTTTAACAACACCATGCATTGCCACTGAGCCACCTGGTGATTTATTGCGTGAGCGATTGCTTTCAAAGTCCAACAACCGACTAGTGCGTGCCTGATGTGCAGCTTTTGCAGGCAGCAGCAGTCCGCTCTCTCTGGGCAGCTCACAGTCGTTTCAGGCAATAGTAGTGATGTGGGTCTCCTTGTGGCAAGAGGTGAGGGAGTCCCTATTACACCTCCAGTAGAATTTAGGGGTGCAGCAAAGCACCATAGACATGACCAACCCCAAAGTAAGCATGAGACAAATTACCCATTTTATCAGGCTAGAGTATATAAATGGGAGGATGAGGATAGTGAGAATCACCACGAGCAGCAGGAACAGCACGAGTCTCTGGATGGCCAGTCTGTTGTCTGCTGGGACATTTTCCTCTCCGTTTAAAGCATCTGGGCTGGTCTGAGCCCAGCTATTGCTGTCCAGCCCCGGGACAGAGACATGTACCTCAGGATTTGAATCGGGGTTTTCCAAGTGCTCCATGATGTCACCTTTATTTTGAAGTGTGCGGATGAGTCCTCCTGGCACAGAAGTGGCTTTTCTGCACAGGGGGCAGGTGATGATCCAGGTACTCCCGTCTTTGCTGAGGATAAGCTTGAGGCAGACTGCGCAGAAGGCGTGCTGGCAGTCCAGGAGCTTGGGGACTCTGTAGATGCTGTACTTGTTGAAGCAGATGAGGCAGTCCATATCAAGAGATGCTGTAGTTGAACACTGGTGGTTTATTTCGAAACCGCCTACTTCGGGAGAGTTTGAATTCGTTAGCATGGCAAGAAGCTTTGAGTTTGGACAGTCTCTCTCTGAAATTGCTGGCTGAAAGGCATCAGGACCATCTCGCTCTGTGCCTGAAGTTCTCTCCGTGTCTTTAATACATTCTTCAGTGAATTCCAGCCTCCTTGTGTCTGCAGCATTTGCTGCTAGGGGTGCTGCTCTGCTCATGTCTGCAGCACCGTCCGCAGCGGGCGGAGGACCGTCCTTTTCAGGCTGTGGTACTTCAGGAGTTGTCGATCCGTTTTCATTGTTTAGGTTGTCAGCGGATTTCTCCATGGAGATAAACCTCAGTGCGGTTTGTCTTCCCGTAGCTGAAGGGTTTGCCGGGTTTCTGGCTCCTTTTATGTGTTGCTTTATTCCTGTTGTACGCATGATTAGTGACAGCTTTAAGCGTGTTGTGCTCTTACAATACGATGTTTTTATGAGATGGGGACCTGAGTTAATGATTAACCTCATAGCCAAGACATTTTACAACGGCTGATAATATCACTGAGTAATCCTGTCCGGAAGCAGACCCCATGGCATCAGCAGACTGCAGCTTTGTTCGCTGTGAGAGCCAGGCACTACTATTATTACTAAATCAGTATTTTTATTTGTTGAAAGCAATTTTATCAGTCTCTAAGCACTGCTCTGTTGGACAGGGACAGGTTTGGAGGAATTATCTAATATTAACATTGGTGTACTGAATGCAGCGCTTCGATTAGAGTGTAATTATCACCAATTTTGAGGGCGGTGGGTAGGAAGTCTGCTCTTGCTTCAGCACTACTCACCCCCCCTAGAGCTGTTACCCTGCAGCGCAAAGAATGAGACTTGAGATGATTAATGTGGAGCGTTGAATGTCCAGTTATTATCAACTCTTTTATCCTAGGAGCATCCTGTTGGTTTCAGTCATCAGGGGGCTTCAGGTGCACATGGAAGCATGACTTAGGGTCACACAGGGTCTCGCAGAGACCTTGGGAGAGATGTGGAATTGAAAAGCAAGGGTAGTGTCTTCATAGGACTGTGTTCTTTTTCTGGTCATTCACAGGACAACCTCAGTACTCCAGAATCCCACTCTGATAGGTTGTTTGGTGAATATCCAGCTCATCTGACAAATAAATGTCTGAACAAAATCCCTCACTCTCTAATTTCTGACTGTATTTTTTATTTGAGGGATGAATACAGATTTCTCGGGAAGAACCCTATGGAAGGAAGGAAGGTGGGAGAGGAAGGGTCACTAATCTCAGGCAGCTGGACTGGGTCAGCATTACTGGCAGAAGACGGGGAGTACCACGTCTGCAGCCTTAAGTGCACCTGACTGCTCAAGCTGTCGGTGCTACCAGGTACCAGCCTCTCCCTCCAGCAGAGGAGCAGCAAAAAGAAATGAGCCAACAGCAATTTAGGAGGACAAGGAGTTCAGGAAGACTCTAATCTCATGAACTCGCTGATGCGGGGGGGTGAGGTCAGAAGAGCTTGTTCTTCTTTGCTGAGAAACATTAGAAGATTTGTCGTAAGCAAACTCGGTAAAAGTGTCTGCGCATCCCTGCGGTATTTCTGCTGACGTGGCATGTAGCAGTGTTTGATGGACTTTGGTGGCGGCTCCCAATTTTCGGAGCCTGAAGAGTTTTCAGGTGCAGAAGTGGGACTTGTAGGTGAAGCGCAAGAATGTCTGGAAGTGGGCTGGTGAATGGCAAGGCTCGCCTGTGTTTAAAAATAGGAGGATTTTCCGTTGCATTTCGCACACCTCTTTATTAGTAAGGTAACATTGTTGAAAAGATCTGGGAAAACAGGAGACAGACCTGACATTTTTACAAGGCTTTTTAAGTTTCAGATTTAGTCTGCTGGTTCCCATCTCCAAAATGGAAATGTCTTAAAATTTACAGATTCTTAATCATTAGAATGGTATGAAACTGGCTTGCGGATGTCGGGAAGCTGGAACAGACACCCAGAGGGGCAACTACACTCCTAAGTGACATATTTCCATTAAAAACGAGGTGGGATGAATCCATGCCTCCACATCCGTCTGCTCTGTCTTCTGGACTTTTGCATGCCTTCAGACTGTACGTGCTGGAAATCCAGAGCTGTTGGGAGGCGCGGGTGTTTAGCTACAGCTGCATGTCAGCAGCAAGGACGACACGCTCGAGCGACAGGGAAGCGGAGCGCATCGTGCTTCGGACAGGTCCTCGTGCTTCCCCAGGGGTGCGGTTTATTGCCACGTGGCTCAGGGACAACAAGGGAGGATGCACAGGGGTTATGGAGGCCGCAACCATGTCATTCCTGGGCTGTGGTTTTGGATCCGCTCTTCAGGGAGCGGCAAGTCTCCCTGCCCAGTTTTCATCAGTCGTATTGGATTAAAAAAGTCTGTTTATTGTTGTCCTCTGTTGATGAAATTTTCCGCCAAGCGCCAAAGGACCTGCCCTTGTTTTGACTCACTTTTGTCCTTGGTGTCACAAGTGATGATGCCTGACTTGCATGCAGGTTGTACGGAATTGCCTACAGCCCTTTCATGCTGCTTATGCCAATTACTCCTTCATTAATCATTGCAGTCAGTTGCACTCATCCCGCTTTTAGTATGTTTGCATAAGAAAATGTGTTTCTATGGAATGCTTCGGTCTTGTTTATGACAGGAAACGGCTATCAAGGAGCAGTCATGTCATTTCAGAGTAAAATCCTCACTTACCGTAGGGCTTTGAGCACAGTAACAGTCACAACATCCAAGAAGATAGCGCTGATAGGTCCCTTGAGCTTCTTCCTGTGCTCAAGCCGTGTGTCAGATTGTCCGGACTCCGGACAAGAGGAACTTAAAAACCAAAGTACGCGACTGATGGGCAGAAGCTGTCGCGACACCTGCAGAGTGGAGGGAGAGAATAGGCGTTTGATGAGGGTGGCACTGGAGGGTGTTACTGGTGGGTGACTCGTTTAAGGGCTTGCAGTGGGAAGAGTGGCCGAGCACCGGGAAATCACCCCCAAGAGGTGTGCTCCGGAGGAGTCACCCTCTTGTTGCTGTGCCCTGTCTGCCGTTCAGAGGAGTTTCCCTCAGGAGATGAAATTTCCAAATTACACATATTACATCTAATTAATTGTTGCCGTCTCCTGACCAGTCGCTGCTCTGTCAGCCACGTTCTCGTGGTGCCACCTCGTGGGCAGCCCCATCTTCTCCCCTCGTCACGTCCTTCGCAGGGCTGTGGGAGCGCTCCCTTGGTGCCCAGCTGGGACAGTCCTGCTCAAGTGGCTCCTGGGGGTCTGTAACCGGAGGAGAGGTGAGCGCGGCCTCCGGCGCCCACCCGGGGGGGTCATGCCCGCAGGCGGAGCTAGTGGGGGTGGTGCAGGGGCACGGGGAGGGGACTGAGGAAAAACTCCGGGACAGAGGAGGAACAGCAGAAACTAAT